TGTTGCAACAGTCCATTCTGAGCGCGGCGGCAGACGACAGGTGGGCGAAGGAGTTCCACTTCGAGTGCAGGAAGGGCGATGGGACAGTGATAGAGATCCTCCATAAGCTCGCACCTCTCTCGGAGAGAGCGAGACCGGTCTTCGCTGCGATGAAGTGGCCCGCGAGAGAACAAGAGTCAGATTCGGACACATCGGGTGACGGAGCGCGGTTCAACAAGTGTGGCAGCTGTGGCATGAGGAGCCACCGCAGGAAAGACTGCCCCCACGGCAAGGACAGGTGTGCCAAGTGCGGCCGGAAAGGGCACTGGGCAAGGATGTGCCCGAGGCACTACCTCACAGATGAGGACTCAGGACTGAAGGCGTTCGTGGAGGTAGGAGAAGGCAAAGTAGTGCTGAATGTCCGTGGAGCTAGAGCCAGGACCGACTACCTGAAGGCGGTGCAAAAGTTCGTAAACAAGGAGATGAGTGCTGACAAGGAAAAGAAGGGCCAGCCGGCACCGGGAGAGGACGTCGGCATGCCAGTGGCCGCGGTCGAGAAGGTAGTGCAGAGTGAGGGTCCAGACGGCGCGAATGTGTTGGTCGCATACAGAGACGCACAGGAGTACCCGAAGGTGGCGCGCGTCAAGTACGAGGCGCGTTTCGAGGCAAGCGGCAAGCTGTACAGAGCGAGGTTGAGACATCTCGAGCCGGAGTTGCGGGCCGAGTTGGAGAAGCAAGTGGTGAAGCAGCTGAAGCTCGGAGTCATCCGTCCTTCGAAAAGCGAGTGGGCCGCCGCGACGCACTTCTGAGGAAGAAGGAGGAGGTGCGTTTTGGATTACCGGAGGGTGAACCAAAGCATGACTGCCGACTCGTATCCGCTGCCCCGAATATGGGACCGCTTGAGGGCCGCCGCAGGCCGTCAGCACTTCACGACTCTCGATATGAACTGGGGATTCTGGAATGCGCCGATAGCGGAGGAGAGCAAGCACCTCACCGCGTTCGTCACACCGTTTGGGCTGTCCCCTTCGGGATTAAGAACTCGCCGGCGGAGTTCCAGCCCGCGATGGACATGCTGTTTGAGAAGGTGTTGGACGATCGCACTCTGTGTTACATTGATGATATCATCATCGCGACGGACACGGTGCCGGAAATGATGCAGCGGTTGGAGAAGGTCTTGCGACTGTGCAGAGAGAGGCTTCTACCTCAGGCTAGATAAGAGCGAGTGGCTCAAGCCCGAAGTAAAGTACCTCGGTCACAAGATTGGGCGGCAAGGGATAGCGTGCCAGGAGAGGAAGATAGGCAACGTTCTCAATGCCACCGCCCCCGCCTCAAGGAAGGAACTGCAGAGCTTCCCGAGCCGTTGGGTAACTACCACCCTTCATCCCGCGATTCGCCGAGTACACTACCCCACTGTTCGAGTTGCTCAAGAAGGGCAGGTTGTTCGTCTGGTCGGATGCTCGAGGAGAGGCTTCATGAAGCTGAAGCAGGCGGTAGCCGGTGCGTCGTTGCTCCACAAGCCAGTTCCAGGAGCGCCGCTCATCATCGGAACAGATGCCTCGGAGGTTGGCATTGGCGCGGTGTTGAAGCAGGTGCAAGAGGGCAGAGATGTCCCGTTAGAGTTCGCGTCTAGGAAGTTCACCGACGCGGAGAGAAAGTGGGATACGAGAGAGAGAGCTCTTCGCCGTCAAGTGGGCTGTAGAGAGTGGTGCGACTACGTAGCGCTCCATCAATTTCACCGTACGCACAGATCACGCCAA